TGCATGTCGTATATTCTGATTCAGTCTCCGGCATTTCCCACGGACGGCTCGGATGAAGCCCTCGACCTTTTCTCCATCCAACAGCCGTTTCTGGAATACGCATCGACTTATTGGGGCATCCATGCAGCCCCTTGCTTCAACCTAGCAGTTCGCTGCAAGGTATATGAGCTGTGCCAGGTCCAGCTCGCCTCGAATATGTGGACACGAGTTGTCCAGCTCAAACAGAAGAAAATGACGTCGACCGATAACAAAGAATGGATTGCAGCCGCCAAGTATGTCACTCCTGGCCTCTCCGAAGTCCACTTAAGCGCTATCTATGATATCCCGGATCTTGGGATGGACGCTTTGAAACAGAAGCACCGCGATATAAACGCCCCAGACTCCAAAATGCGCACCCCGTTGATGATTGCAGTAGCCCTTGGAAGGGAGGAACTAGTCGAGCTTTTCCTGGAAGACGACAACCTAGACATCAATGCTGTTGATGGGGATGGCCCGGGTGGGAGACCAGCTCTGTGGTACGCAGTCGAAAGTTCGAATCTTGCAATTGTACAGAAGCTCTGCTCCTCGTCACACGACATCGACATCAACCAAGGAGGATCATTAGCTACGGCGGTGCATATCCCCTACCTTGATTCGAATTTGGATATGGTCAAATTCTTTTTGGATCACCCCCGGGTGGATCCCAATCCCTATTATAAAGGCATGCCGCATCCAACGAACACTCTAGCTCGCAATTTCAATATCAGTTTTCTGAGTCAGCTTATCGCCATGCCAGATATTGATCCTTGGAAGTGGTCCAGTCCTCTTGACGATTATCAAGATCAGCTGAGCTACATCACCAACACGGATCACTTTGGTGATAACGGCTCCATATCTGCTGTGCCTCAGAGTGTTAGACTGCTCGACTCGAATCCCAAGTTCTGCTACCCCGATTTCCAGGCACTGGATGTGATGTGGCCTTCGGTATATTTTGCCTATGCTGATACCATCCCATACAAGATTGAAACGGACGGATCGTACCAATATCAAATCGGTTGGATGGGCATATGGGATCATACTCACGGCACATGGAGAGCCGAAGTGCGAGAGCGAATGGAGTCGTTCGGTATAAATTTCGAAACAACTGACTCAAAGGGTCGAGCCTTTGTGCATTCTCTCGCAAGGTCCGGCGATGTGGATTTCCTTCGCTTCCTATTAGATCGTGGGGAAAGCGTCCATCGAGTCGATACGTCCGGCCGATCCCCTCTTCATTACGCAGCAGAGGGAGAGGCCGAAGGCTGTGAAGAAACATTGCAACTGCTGCTTGATTCCGGCGCAAATCCCGCTGCCGTCGATACAAATGGATGGTCTGTCCTGCACAGCGCCTGTAAACGTGGCAACGCAAAGATTGTTGAAAGGCTCCTGGGAGTCAATGCCGACGTCAACGCCACAGACCGACAAAAGCGAACCCCTCTGCACTTAGCATCCGGACTGGAAAATGCCAGGTTGATCATTTCAATGCTCTTGGACCGAGGCGCTGATATTCATGCGCGTGATTTCATCGGCTCGACTCCTTTGCGAGAAGCTACATACTGTTTCGAGTCCACGGATGCCACCTCAGTACTCATTGAGCGCGGTGCAAATTGCGATGTTATTTCTTTCTGTGGACCCCTTATTACTGAGTTATTAGTAACACGAGTAGAAGCAAAGATATGGCGACTCATTCTTCCCAAGGCCAAACTAGATGGAGTAGAGCTTGATTCATTTGGCATGACTACCTTGGACGTGCTCTCTCAGCCGCATGCAATGGACACCGAGGATGAAAGGTTACCAAATCTATTATTGCAATACACAGAAACGACGTCGGACATGCGAACCACACATATACGTACCAATATGCTCAACCGCCTCGATTGCATGCTTGCCTCCGACGATCGAACTAAGTTGACCTTGTCATACAGAACAGCCTTCCAATTGCTGATCCTGGGCGACCAAGACTCCGCCCAGACTCTGCTCGATCTATGGCCTGTACCATTCTCCAAGAGTGGCAAACCTTACATTCAGTACATTGTCTGTGTCAGCTGCTTCTCTGAAATTGGCCCACTCTTCAAATGCAGAACCTGTCCGTTCGTGGAATTGTGCAAGGCTTGCCACGACAAGCGGCCGATCAAGAACGGGGAGCCCAAAGTACCGTTCTGCGAAGGTCATGAGTTCCTCCAATTTCCCAGTGATAGCTGGAAGACGCTCCCGGAGGGCGCTGTCAATTCGAAGGGTGACACGCTGGACGAGTTTCTCATGTCGCTAAAGTTGAAATATTCCGACTCAAACCCTAACACCTGCGTAATCTTGTAGGTTGCCCATTTGCAACACGGCGGCTGTATTACGGTTACGTATAACACACCATGGGTTGTCGGCTCGATTATTGTTCCCTGGCTGTTTCCGGGACCGTGAAGAATGAAGTTAATGCCCAGTGGGATCATGGCATTTACAGGGCAAGAGCTGGCCAAGGAGTTAAGGTACACATATCATAACATAGCACAATATGCTATAGAGCAAGGAAACGAGTACTATGAAATCCAGAATCTCTTTCAATTCTTTGAGCAACATATCTCTCAGCTTCGACAACTACAAGTACTTTAAATGTGTAGGCCTTCTCGACTTCAAGTAGGACGTATTCAGAACTCGCGAGGAGTCTTCTGTTATAGAAGGCTATGTTCTTCGCTATCAACCGAGCATCCTCCATATCACAAATCTCCCATCGTTGAAGAAGCTCCATTTTCACTTCCATGTCTCTAAAGTGAAATATGATGTCGAGGGAAACCCGAAGGCAGGAACTAATCTGTGGTGCTATTTTACATACAGCTTAGGTTAACGATTCAACAGACCGCTTTCGCGCCAAAAGGGTTTTGTAGACTGTTTCTTTACATTCGCTGTTAAGCGCCTACAAGGAATCCCCCACATCACTTTCTTGGGTCATTTTAAGAACAGTACTCGGGTAAAATGGGAGGCAACCTTCCGCGAAGAGCGGTGAACACGAGGGTACCATAACCCTGCAGATGAGCTTGCGAAAATCAAAGCTATACTATCCAGCCAATTGTAAGTTTTACGGCGGTCTAAGTGTCTTCATATACTGACATTGGCTACAGACCACCACAATGCTACTACAAGAACCCGTGTCATTGGTAGCTCGCAAACGGACCCCCTCTAGAAGGCCACGAGGGTCGTAACATACTGATTTGGGGGTCAGCATACGACCCGAGTCCCCATGGTCATTTCGAATGGGAGAATTAAGGCTGGAGAGAAGGTAGTCTCAAGATCTGGAGTGCAAAGGGACTGTCGGATGGTATTAGGTATGACCAGATGAGTATTGCTTCCATCTAACTAGAGGGAAAATCTCTGTTTACTTGAGTTGGCAGAAGAAGTAGATATTATCAGCCAAGCTCTCTGGACTTTGCCACCAGTTCCACGAAAGTACTTTCGCAGTTCTTGTGCAATGCTATGGTATCATCAGCAACCGGTTCAAAGTTCTCACTTTCTCTAGTGCAATACTGACACCACACCAATACACAAGTCTTCCATCCTTCCCTTCACCAACCTTCCTATGTCGTGTCGAATCCTGATAACAATACTCCCAAACTCCACAATACGCACACCGCTGACACAGCTCCTCTTCTTTCAACAGAACCTCCACAAGCTTTTCCTCTACCTCTCTTCTTTCTTTCCCCTTGGTCTCAATCCAAACCTTCCTTCTCACTCCGCTATCCTTCATGAAAGGCGTCTCGGAATTCAAAAGCTCGTCAGCGTTGATAGTTGAATATCCATCTCCAGATGCCCAATCATTTCCATCCCGGAGCCAGAATCGCGGATTGAGATTGAATTGGGATGATGGAGGGTCTGCATCAGTGTCTTGCTGATGCAGATCATTCAAAGCGCCGAATAGTTTCCATCCTCCTGCCATACCATAGGCTCGGGGGAAGACGAGATACCACCTTAGGCCACGGCGGTGGAGGGCCGTTGGGAGGGAGAAACGACCAGGGATTATCTGTGTGAGAGGGGTTTTGGGAGCGTTCTGCATGGTTTCGGGTCAAATAGGTGTTGGAGAATGGCATCACTTTGGTCGTGATGGGAGTGGAGGTCTTTTGATGATGGAAGTTGGTGATGCTAGCAAGGTTGTTGCTGCGCCTCTTCGTGATGGCTTGGGTGCTAGGTGTGAGCTGAGCGTGAGTGATGAATATATAAATGTGATTACTCACGGCGTGCTTGATAGTCATTTTGGACGGCTCGTTTAACTCCGACGACTTCTGTGGTGGGTTACATCAGTGCGAGTGGAGGGATAGAGTGGCATCGTAGTAGAGGCATACATCCAGTATTTAACGACAATGATGAAACATTCAGTGTTGCAATAAATGCCACTGGAACTTTTCCCTCCTTTTACCATCATTTCATATGCTTTGGTGGTTGTTGATGCAGGGTTCCAGGCAACACAGAGTTGCATGGCCCCGCGCGAGACATCGGCTAGCGACATGAGATATCGAAGAGATTGGTCCTTAGGGTTTGATATCGGCCGCCATTTCTCGTATTCTTGCCCTAGAACTATCCATGACGAGGTAAAAAGCCTCCCGTTTCGGTGTTCAGATGTAGTCGTCATTGTTACTGGCTGGAGAGACTTTGAATGGAGCCAGGCATGGAGCAGGCCATTTCTGAATTCTCTGGGTGACATCTATCGTCTGTTCTCTTGGTTTTTTCTTCAATGGGGATTCCTACTAGCTTATCGCGAAGTCATTCAAGGTTCCGTTTGGATGGTTGGTTGTGGTGGCCGAGCTATTGGTGTGATCGATGTGCGGCTGACACGCGGAATGCCAGGGCAGTGGGTGGCCCCCGGATCCCCGGAAGCGTTGGCGGGGGCTGATTGACCCGCTAGTCAAACTCTTCAACACCCCCACTGGTGGAAATGTTCTGTCTTTTGCCCATTCTTTTTATTTCCTATATATATCTTTATGGGTGCTGAAATCTTCATCCAATCCGTTATGGTGTATCGGCTAGCATCCGTCGCTTTCATTAGTTCTTCTGAGCATTGATAGCGCCCGACGAGAGCCGGGTTCGACTCCCGGTAACGGAAAACCGTTCTTTTTGCATTTTGTAGATATTTGTGGGGCGGGGGTGCCGACCACAACACCAAACAAGCGGGACCTGGAGACAAGCTTGCACGCTGGAGAAGATCTGAAATCTTAGAGTTCTCCTGGCAACGGGGATTAACCGTTAACAGACGTGTTTCAATCTCTGCTGTTCACTGTTCCAAATTCATGAGATGAATGACATTGTTCTGCTATTGCAGTACATTTTGCTACCTGATTCCGGTTTAGACATCAGCGGAAGGATGGATAAATTACTGTATAAACAGTTATGAGGAGCTCACGACCCAATGACAGGCTTGTTTCATAGCTTAGTGAAACAGAGTGCCAGGTGACGAAGCGGATGCCCATCAAAAGCCGTTGTTCACCCACTGCTCCAAAGATCTGAGGCGCACTACTATTTCCCGCTATGCATCCGCAATTTAGGCATTGGCAGAAGGATTAAGGAAATATTGTCTAAGCAGATATGAAGAACTCACTACCCAATGGCAGGGTGGTTGACAGCCTAGTGAAACTTGAACCACGATGTGATGTGGAGCCGGAGAAAATCTCATCACCAGAGAGAGGCGCAATTCAATCTGATGTCCATCGATGATTCAGGCGCTCACAGGAGGATTAAGGACATTCTTTCTAACCACATATCGAGAGTCTGCGACCCGATGAGAAACTTGTTCTATAAACTAGCAGGTCAAAAACAACTCCAAAAAGCAAAAGGATCGGTGTTCCGTTACCGGGAATCAGTCCAAATCAGATTCAAATACTTCCCATCCTGTCAGGCCTCCACTAACTAGCAGTATTCATTTCCATGGACCTCCCCTGATTACACAATACCTCCGAAATGTAGTCCATGTTCCAATTCATGTCCAGGTAATGAACTGAGACTGACCCCGCCCCAATATCCGTCGTCACTGCCTCCTCGGATTGGTTTAGCTTCAAGCCATCCCCAGATATCAACAAGCGGTTAGGGCCCCGGTGATGCCCCCGCCCCACCGAGAGTGACAAAGTTCATCCATTAATCGGCAGTGGACTTGATAGTCTCCTCAAACCCCAACAGAGGCACTGCACGGTCATGTCTAATAGCATGGGACGCTGTTACCCAGTATACCACGAATTGAAGATCAGCACTGTTGGATATCGCCATCTCCCAAAAGCCTGTCATGGCCGATAATATGGTCACAAGGGTATCCAGTGACCTCATAAAGAGGCGGGCTGGTTGTCCCCGTGCAATCTCTCGGAACCATTGCTGAATTCCGAACGTTCTATCCCCCATATACGGGATTTCTTCATCAGGATCGTTACTAAAGGCCTCATAGATCATGCTCTGACATTTATAACTCGGAGTCTTGATCGATTGGAAATGGATTCCTAGTCGATGCGCTTCAAATCTTCGGACAAGTTGACGCCCTCGATGGCGTTCTCTGGCCACAAACTTCTCCTTTGCATCTTCATCGTCCTCACTCTCCTCGTTGCCACTAGGCTCTTCTTTGCCCTTGTCCGTATTGTTGCCTCTGGGCTCAATCCTCTCAGGCGTCTGAATCGCTCCAGGAGAATCGGTCTTCATGAACCCACCCTCGCTCCCAGACTCGGTGTCACCACCAAAGCCACCGAGATCGCTGTGCAATATGTTAGTAACCAGAATTTAGTAATTCATACTTCGGTGTAAGAGGCACGATACCGGCTTCGTTCACTCTGTTCGTCTCCTGCTCTCTTCTCCTCAACGCCATCTCCGGCTTTTAGGCCATTGGGAGATGCGGGACGCAAAGATACTGAATGGACCGTGGCTTTCGGTTTCAGTCAGTCCAGCAAGTTCCCTTGCCGTCTCGTATCCTGGTGCCCGTTGGTCTGCACGCGCTTTCTTCGGCTTCTTGGAAGCCTTTGACGACGATGGTGCACCAGCCTTCTGTTTTTGGGCAGCCATGGCGATAGCCCTAACCCATCCATGAGGCCATGGCAGAAGAAGAACAGGAGGAAGCGGAGCCTGGATTAGACAAGAGGGAGTATATTACCGCTAAGGATGAAAGGTTTCTCGCTGCATATGAAAGTCGTCTAGGTGGACGAAAGCATCTAGGTGGGATTCGTAAGCACTCAAATATGTATTTAAAGTTGTATTGATATCCACTGACGGTGATCAGACAAAAATGCGCGTCTAGCAACTTTCTCATTACTAAATATCCGACATCATAAGATCTCGCCGGGAGATCTCAAACAGGCCTTAAGCAATGTCCCTGCTCTTAGCAATGAGGCAGCTCCGCAAGCAAGTACCCAAGTCAAAATTCAGGACTTGGCAGCACGCAATTCTGATGAAGTATGACCACGCATTGTGCATATCACTAATTAGGATCAGTTTCATTAAACCACTGGCGAAAGGCCCCCACGATCATTACAAGAGCCGCGATCCACCGAATATGCAGATTGGTCACCTCACGCTCTCTGGAGCGGAGCGCCGGCCACACATCAGGACACAATGGCCCACTGATACGAAAGAACAGAAGTTGCTTGTGAAGTTTATGTGGAAACCCATCATCCATTTTCGGGGTGTTGATACCATCTACAATCCACTTTCAAATTGCACGCCAGCTCAAGAGAGATACCCTGCTGGGTTGAGGAACACATTCAAGAACGAGTTTGTGCTGGCAATAGACAAATATATCAACTTTTGCTTTCGCGGACGCCAGGATGGATAGGACAAGTCAAAGGCGAACAGGGAATTTTCCAGGACTTAGAAAACTATGGTGAAGATCACTGGGTTTCCCCCGGGGCCACGAATAGAGGACTATCCCATCTTAGAGATCTTTGAAGCACTACGAGGTGCTGAAGACGCCATCAAGAATGAGAAGGGAGCCCTCATAGAAGAAGAAGAGTAGCCCATTGCCAAGCGTACCAAGCGGGCCTAATGTGAATAGGGAGAGGGGGGGGGGGGGTTAGAGTCTCCATAGGCGGTGGCCTTTCATATTTTACATTTCAAGGTTTTCCCTGGCTTGGGCTAAATCTATGGTAATAGGTTCAGCAAACGACCCTATCTATATTTCCTCTTTTCCTCGTTTGTCTAATCTTATCTTTCATCATTCCCTTTCTTTACTGTTTTACAAATTTTATAACGTAGATACTAAGCGAGCGGCCAAACCAAGCGAGCGGCCACCTCATCAGCTTCATCCACCTCCGCAGCGATCTATCTCAACAACGCAACAAGATAGTATATTATAGTGGATATCCTAGATTAAGCAGTATCTACAGCACGCTTTGCACACGTTCATAAGTTATAGCTAATCTCTCTGCAGCGCATGCAGCGTACTAGAGCCTGCCAGCTCACTCCTAACTGCGCTTTGCCTTGACGTATTTCTTCCTTTTTCTGCTGCTCAGCATCTTTTTAAGCAATAATATCCTCTCCTTCTCCCTTTAATAGAGTGCCTTGCTTCTGAATCCACTTTTCTTTACACTTTTTATGCTCTGTAGCAGCCTTATTTACTCTTTTAAGACTCACAATATACTTACGCATAAGCATAGCTAAGTGCACTATCACCTTAGCACCCTTTTTAAGTTAATTAAGCGCTGTAATAATAGATGCAGGTAATAAGCTCTAATGCCGCTGTATCCACTTATAGATTATTATTAACTAAGCCTCCAGTTCACACGCGTTACTGGGTATTTTAGCTTCCTATAGGGTGACCTCTAGTGTAGGTAGTATTAGCGTACAAAGCTTTATATTAAGCTTTAATATTACTATATCTAGATTGTATAGGACTAGGCCAGCGCCTTAAAAGCTTATACAGATATTATCCTTTATAATTAACTAATTATAGGCAGCACAGAAGGCTAGTAGGAACTTAAGCTTAGTAATATAATTAATGCTGTTATAGATAAGGCTCTTAATCTAACTCCTATATATACACTTTAGTGGTAAGAAGTAGCCTATATTAAGTAGCTACAAGAGGTACAATAAATAAGGTAGTATACAGAGTATAAAGATATTATTCTCCTTATAGAGATCTTAAAAGCTAAGTAAGTAGTAGCTCTTATAGCTATTAAAGATGAGTAGCTAATATACCCTAACCTTCCTGCCCTCTATATGCTTAATAAAGTGCTTCAGCTACTTAACTCCTATCTTATTAGTTATCTAGCTATTATTACTAACTATAATAGCCTAGTTACGTAGTATATTATTACCCTTATACTAGGTAGAGAGGTAGTACTAGCTAGCAAAGATAATAAGTAGTAGGATTAGCCACCTAGCAGCATTAATTCCCTAGATTATGCTAACCTACTTATAATTGCCTAGCTATATAGCCTTTAGCTAGCTATGTCTCTCTAAGCTAGTAATAACTAGATAAGATAATATCTTGCCTATTAGGAAGCTAGCTTTATTAAAGTTGTATGTATCCTTATTATAGATACTATACTAGGTCTTAGTATACTATACAAGCTTAAACTAGGCCTTAATAGTCTTAGGATCCTTATAGAGAGCTCTCTGTTAGTTATATAGTTAATTATATTACATCTTAAGGCTTATAGTATAGTTAATAAAGTTCTTTAGCTAGTCTCTACTAACCTATATACTTATAAGCTTAGTAGTAGTATAGGTTAAGGTTAAAGGGATTGGTCTATTATTCTAATTAATCAAGCTTAAGATACTGATATAGGCTAAGTACACGTAATACTAAGATATATACTAAGGCTTATATCTAGCTTATACACCCCCTTTAGATTCAAACTTGTTTAAAGCTAATAACTCAGCTAGTTTATCTATACAAGGTTTTAATGGATATAAGCAATAATATTAATAATATCAGCCTTAATAAAACTCTCTAAAACCTAGCTTTGCTAGTAAAATAAGAGAAAGAGTATCTAATATATATAGGAAATATAGGAAATATCTTTCTTATCTTAATAGGGTCAGTAGTTTATTATCTTAATAAGGCTGATTTTTTATCTTAATAAGGTTAGTGGTTTATTATCTTAATAAGGCTAATTTTTTATCTTAATAAGGTTA